TAGTCAACGGCAAAGCGGGGGCCAGGCGGCACCCACTCAGCGAGGAGCAATTCGCTGAATCATGGGAGTTGTATGTTGCCTTGCAGAAAAATCTGGCCCTTGTAAACTACTTTCTCGGTCGCCACGCGGAGGGAGTGAAGTGTGCAACAACTGTACTCTCGATTTCTGGGCATGAGAATGACGATAAGGCGTTGTTACGTCGCGCTCACTGCAACCACTGCCTTGGGGATTTAAGAGCGGCAGAGACAGACCTGAATACCTTGGAGCGTCTCAGCAAGGATGGAAACGTGCCAATTGATTCAGCGGTACCCGATCTACGTAGACAAATTGCGAAAACCAGACAACAGGCGTTGGAGAAGGAGCGCAAAATGTGCGCAAAGATGTTTGCTTAATTAACTACATAAAGTCCGGCTGAAAAGAATCACCGTGTTTATTTTGAGTGTCCAATTTTGCTTCACATCACGTAAGAGTGTTCTCACTATTTATATTTAGATGTGCGCCCAAAACCGTTCTTTCTTTCTATATATAATATACACCTAAATTGGACAAGTATAAAAATACATCTGTTTGTGTGCATGCGTTTGCTTGTTTTTTCTTTTCTCCTTGGAATGTATTCTCTTGGAGGGACTGAATTTGCCTCTGGTGTCTTTTCAACAATAACGTTTTTCTTTCTCATCTCCGAGTGGGGTGCGGATATCGAAGCGGAGGAGTGGGGTGACGACTCGCACCGGCTCGTCACGACACACACACACACACACACACACACAAAAGAGATTATTTTGTCAGGGGATGCGTCGTTGTCTTTTTGTGAGAAATGCGGCGGCTTTTTACGAGTTTGTCGATAACAATTTTCTCAACAACAAGCGGCCACCGGTGCCGGGTGGAGCGTGGCCGCTTGAGAGCCTTCGCGTGAAGAGTCTCTCCGACCTGCAGCAGATCTGGTTTTTGCTGTTGAAGGAGCGCAACATGCTGCACTCCACGAGGGAGCAGTATTTGCGTCACCAAGAGGAGCTCGGTGCGATGCCGGCACCGTCGCGGCTCAAGATGGTGCAGGAGTCGATGCGAAACATCAAACGTGTCGTGAAGGAGCGCGACGCGGAGGCCACTGCACAGGCGACTGCAATCTTCCAGGAAAGGCTGGAGCGCGGTGTGTACCGCTTTCCGCCGGGACCGCCGCCACCGCCGGGTGCCCACGACCCGACAGTCGTCGTGAAGGTGATACTCAGCCGACGTGTTGAGGCTGACAGGTTGCGGGAAATCTTTGGACGCTACGACGTATTCGAGCCTCACAAAGGGATCGTGCGGGTGGAGCTGAAGCTGCCGGACGAGGTACTGCGGAAAAAGGAAGAGGCGGAGCAACTGTGGACACAGTACATGGCCGAAAAGAGCGACGTGAAGGAGTACCATCGCTGGTCAGCGTCGCCCAGTGTGTACGATTACGCCAGCGTGGAACTGGCTCCAGGTGTGTTTGCCAATGACGCCGTTGCTGAAATGTCTACCCGAAACGTCGAGGATTACGATGGCAATAATAGCAATAATAATAGTGCTGTTGGTGGTGGTGATATCGAGAATGATAAGACGAGTGGGGCTGGTGATGGGGCGATTGTGGCAGCCCGTTTGCCGGTGCCAGCGAGCAAGCAGAGGCCGCCGCCACCGAAAAACCCACTGGAGCGTATTAAGGCAGAGCGTCGCTCGTATCTTGCACGAACAGTCATCCAGCTTGGCTACTTTCCGAACATAACAATGCAAGTGCCACGCTATGCGACTGTTGAGGAGGTGCCTCGGCCGACGCACCCGGACGAAATTGAGGGTCCATGGGAGGCGTACATCACGTATGACCGAAGAAACGGTCTTGAGTATGCGCAGTCACTCGGTGTCACCACCATTGACGGGGCTGAAGTGATTCGTATCGTGGAACACAAGCGTGAGCCCCAGCCTTATGCCAAGGTTGACCCCGTATTTCTTGAGGCTCTACGACGAGAAAAGGCGCGGGAGGAGACGCTCATGAAATGGCCGCACGTCCCTGAGTGGAAATACGAATACAGCGAATACACCAGGAAGCACTTAGCTGAAATTGTGCGGCATAATTATAGCAACGTTGTTGATTACATGGATCGTGAAGTTCTTCTCACTGGGCGTTCTGTATGGGAGTGTCCGATCGATA